ACGCTTGGTGCACCCCCGGTGAATTTCATAGAGAAACAACAGCGGACTAAGGCATGATCAGAGTCGACGCAGGTATTCCAGAACGAGCCACAATCCAGGATGGAACCACGGCATCTGTAACTTTTGGCAGTGTGTTAAATTTGGGTCCATCGCTGCCCAGCTACAGAAGGACGCTAAGTGGCACTTCGGTACTCACTGTGTCTACAAGCGGTGCTACTAAGAAACAACTGGTGCTCCTCACACAGTTGCAGCAGACGCTCACCGTTTTCAGTCCGTTCGGAGTTAAGCGCAAAATTAGCACCCAGCAGAGCTTCTGAAGAGCTCAGACACCCTACTTGTGCGTTCAACCGACAGCCATTGTCTGCGAATGATTGGTGGTATGTGGTGGCACATCACTGGAGCAGTATGAAAGTTCGGTACAGAGTGCCTGAGGTAAACCGTCGCTGCTTCCAAAACGTTATTCTATTACATCAGCATCAGTCGGACCATGTCGCGACACTGACCCAAATTGGTTGCAAACCTTAGATTTTATTTGCTGCGGTAGGGATCAGTAGCGCCAGTTTGGGGCCGGATCGTCTGTTATTAAATATCACTCGAACAACAAAGCCGAAAGAACAGAACGAGATGTGCGAACCACCATAATGAACAATTTCTTTTTGTTATACTACTGTCTTTTGTGCCATAGCACATTTCTCTACTCTGACTTGACTTTGGACATTTAACCTCTTGGTTTCTCTCCTGACCTACAATCAGTGATGGGAAACTCTCACATTCAATAACTGAGTGAGTTAAGTATCCATCCGTAATTGTATGCAAGCATTGTACTCTGAGTGTGTCGATGTTAGTTTCAGGTAGATTATGTTTCATTTTCTACAACCTGCGGAGTATATTGTCCCATAACTCTTTTACGTACATTCCACCATCCACTGGGTTAACGTATTGATACCATTGTGATTACTACCTTATCGCCAATCTCTTGGCTGTGCCATGCTGCCCCCGATCGTAGTGCAATACCCGATCCGGTTCTATGTTGTCGCTTCTTGTTCTAACTCCGGTACCTCCTTCCCGTACCCATGACCCTAAAATGGTGCGGTGGTTTGAGTTCCTCAACCCTCGATTGGTTTACACGTGGTGGCACTTTCTACATGCCTTCTAAGCTGTGCACTGGCTGTAAGCCGCTTCGGGCTTTGTATTGAACCATCGAAGTGCAAAGCTTCCCTCCATGATTGGCAGGGATCGTCTCCTGCGCTGACCCTTGGTGGGGATCAGCTAGAAGTCGTACAGAAATTCAACTACCTGGGAAGTTGTATCAGTGCCTTTGGGATCGAAGACGAGACGACTGTATAGCGAAAGCTCGAAGTGCTTTTGCTAACTTTCGCCACCTATGGCGGCGGCGCGACATCACTCTCGCCCTGAAGGGTAGAGTGTACAATGCAGCGGTACGTTCGACCTTACTGTACGGTTGCGAAACCTAGCCCCTTAGATCAGCGGACATAAAGAGGCTAGTTACGTTCGACCATCGGTGTCTTCGCAGATTGGCTCACATCTGGTAGGAACGCCGCCTGAGCAACGAGCGCGTTCGACGCCTTCTTTACGGCACAGAAAAAGGAACTGAACTGCTCAGCACCATCATTTCACGCACCAGGCTCCGATGGCTCGACCACGTGTTGCGCATGCCAGCCCACTGACTTCCGCGACGTGCGTTGTTTGCGCGCCGTGGGTGGGGATGGAAAAAGAGAGGTGGCCAAGCGATGACTTGGTCAAGAGGAATGAAGGCCCTCACTTCGGAGCTGGCCTCGGTTGGAGCGTCACGGCTCCCTGGTTGGGGTCCAAAAGATGATGAACACGTTTGGCTAGATACACTTGCTGACATGGCAAAGAGTAGACCACAGTGGCGTTCTTGCTGTGAGTTTCTTTGTCCCTCTATATCTTTCTTAGCCTCCCCTTCTAAGCACGATCACATTTCGTAGCGTAATATGAGTTTACACAATAATTTTGCTTGTTGCCTATTAGGCGGCTGGTAGCTTACCGGAACGATGCCCATCCGTTGCTAGTAGCGTAGCTGGCATGCAACTGTCGTATTTATTTTCCTTTTCTTTTAGGTATTGCGGCACAGTAGCTGAGGTGTTTCCCACCTTTATCCAACGTTTATAATGGCGATGACTTCTAGGCTGTTCGTACGCGACAGTTTGCTAGTTAGTGTTTTTACAAACTGTCTCAGTATATTTCTCATAGAAGCAATCGGAAGGTGTTAGGCTCAGCTGGACTGACGCTCCAAATGTTCTCTAGTTTACCACCACACATTGCGAACCGAGCATCTCCTGGTTAATAAGATACAAATCAAGTTGTGTTAGGCCGTGGTATCCGGTGTGTCTACTAAAGTAAAGACACGTGCAAATCGTTCCTAATCCTCTTTACCGATGGATGGAGTTGACTCACTGGCGAGTGGTCTACCCGTTTCACTCAAGCTTTAGGACACCAAAGGGGTTCCTTCAGATTGGACCTTGTCAACAACCGTCTTTATCTCCTTAAAATGCACAGGTGCTTTGTGTGAAAATCACTGAGACGTCAGCCTTCGGTTTCCTTTAGTTTTCTCAGATATCATCCTGCAGCGCCACTGATCCTCGGGAGAACCAGATGACTTTGCTGCTTGCTGAGGCTGCATTCGTCACATATTTAAACTTCATCATTTATTGAAGCAGTGACAGACGAATTACTATGTGGGTTCTCATTGCTTTGAAAGCTGTTCGCGACTCTGTTGCTCACTGCAGCTTGTGATACAGCCTATCGAGGCACACGTCAGGGAAACTGCTTTCTGCTCAGAGGCCTATATCGCAATGCACGGGGCCGTGTAAGATCAATGGGAAGCTGTCCCATGAGATCCATGCGTCAAGTATGGTGCGCCAGAGTTACGTTATCTCTCCCATCCTCTTCAATTCTACGCTCGTCAATTGCTCCGCCTTCTCAGTTCCACTTGAAGTGAAAGTTATGCCCAGTGACCAACTGACAAACCTCGGGTTGAATCCAGTGCCTATGCAAACCCTGCTTAATGGGTTGACGCATGGATCTGCACGCTTCAGAATGCCTTTTATCTTTTCAAACCACAAGCTAAGACAACCGGATACATGCTTATCAGTCAACGGTAGGGTGTGCGGCGTCGCAATAAGGCTTGTGTTGCAGTGTGGATAAGATACCCAGCCACTTTTCATTGAGGACATTAAGAGATTAACCGTCTTTGATCACCGTGTTTACGGAATGTTGCTCACATCTGGTTGTAATCTCTGGTGAGCAATGCTGAATTCCATCGTTGGTGTTTAGCAAGAAAATGAAACCTCGTTGTATTGTATTGGACTTAAGCCGCTCACATCGACTGTTGAGCGCCTACCTCGGTATGCAACATGTGCTGTCGTGCACCCGGTTAGGTGAAACTGCGAGGTGACCAAATATTTGATCAGGTTGGTACGTGAATAGAGGTTCCGGAAAAAAGAATATATATATATATATATATATATATATACACTTTACCAGGACATGATTAAAGTGAGCCTCTCACGTTCTAACCTTGATTGCAGATCATGGGAATCGAAGGCGACTGATCGGCGTGCATGGCGCGATCTGATCACGAAGGCAGTTGCCGGGGCTGCATGCAAGTGTTTTGTGACTGCGGGAGGAGCTCGGTTTCCCCATACAAGTGATACCGTCGTCACATATCCCATCCGGTTGCATAACCTCTCGGGGATGTGTTCACTGATTCTGACATCTGGATTTCGGCCAGTGCGCCCGAGGTAGCTACAGGTTAATTTCTATAGACAGTGTGACTTGCACTGACTCCTCGTCGTTGTCTTAATCGAACATATAAGCACTGGTCTTGTTGAGGTGAGCAGCCGCAGTTCCGCCGCATTGTATGTTCTTCTGAGTGAAGCCCTTATCCGTTTCCCATGACCTCTATAACGTGGTCAAGTTTGAAAGGGTAGTTCGATGAAGATCGGCTTCTTGAGAACTGTTGGCCCACGATCCCACTTGGTTATTTCACTAAGTGTGGCTATAAGTCAATCCCGGTATTGCAAATGCGTGGCTATTTACGATCTATTTGACAATGTCAGTTGTTCATTTGCATATCGTTGTTGTATGTTTTGTGATCGATAAAAATGCACGAAATGGCGATGTCATCTCACAATCTACGTCTTATAATTTTTCTGTTTGATACCAGGCCAGTTAGATATCGGGTGATCAAGAGTCATTGAGTAGGCCGTGTACTCGTGGAACACTGTGTAGGTCTATCATTGGTGGCAGTTCGTAGTCGAAATGATTAGTTGGTGCGCATATTGAATTAAGTACATATGCGTTTCAGTGATAACTATGGCAAATCTGTTCTATCAGTACCCAATGTTTTCTTCTTGATTTTCCATTTGTTCAAAAGACAAATCCCACAGTATGAAATGCTGCTGTGGGAAGTGGATAAGATGGTAAAACTACCAATGTTCGGCAGGCCGGAGCAAGGACGACGAAATGGAAGATGGGTACCGCTGTCCAATACCACCTTGGAAGAATCGTAATGATAGCACTAGATAGCTCAACTAATGGTTTGAAACAAGAGTAGGCATCAAGTAAAGTGGAGCTCTGTTCTGAAACGTAAGCGACATTATTTGAGAAACGTAAGAACCATGAAAAAAGTGGTGAAATTAATCTGTATATGAGTTGGCAAATCGCATGGTCGTTTGGCAAATGAGAAAAGGCGAGCACGTGGTCTTCACAGTGTGTATCCCTATGTATACAAATGCATGCGTGAAGAATTATGTATAGAAGTGTGACCGGACACCGAAATCCGATGGCATTAACGTCCACCGGACACGATAGCCAAGGCGCAGAAGGCGCGGGGGGGGGGGGGTGAAACCATGCGGAACAAAACACAATGTCTGTCAAAAGGCGCATGTCGCCAGTGTAAGCAGTAAAAGGAAGGCACACATCATGTTGGCTACAAGCTGAGAGTCATGGGAGGGCTAGTTGGGTTTCTGTGTTGGCATTTTGCCAGAGGCAATTTGGTCCAGTTCTTTGATCAACATTGCGCGACCTGTAAAAGATACATAAACGAGCCGTTAAATCGTGGCAAATGGCTAGGCATTAGGAGGGTACAGGGATAGCCTGGAGTGTGTTGCAAAACAGAGCGTCAGAACGGTTGTAAAAGAAGCCGAATCAGAGACAAAAGACGACCCGTTTGACAACATCAATCGTATGTGCCAAAATGGGAACTACCGTTTGTCCATGAGCACAAGATGTGGCGAAGCAAGCGGCAATAGTCGAACAGCTGTGATAATAAAATTAGCAACAATGGCAGGAATGATGGGAAAACGCATTGGGAGAAGCGTTGGGAAGAGGGGATAATAATGAGCGGATGGAAAATTGTACAGTCGGATACAGAGGAGCACGAATGGGTCATGCGAAGCAAAGTCCAGAGCCATTGATGTGGACGATAATCTGGCACCAGTTTGGAAGCGAAGAGGGCAAGTAGAACATACGCATGCAAACGACCAGACGACAGAGACGGTTAGAGTACAAACAGTAGATCCAGTGAGGCACCAGAGGGCCTGTCGCCGAGTAACAGTGGGTAGACGTCAGTATCGCGAGCTAAGTAGTCTAGCGGGTGAGAGCGACGTCGATGGTCAAAGGTTATTCGTTTGTTAATGCCAGTTTTGTAAAATGTGGTGGTCACTTCACTGATCTATACTGCAACAGTTGTCATAAAACAGAGCAGTACGTACCATTCGTTTGACCGATACGCTTAAACCAAATTCGGTCAGAGATGATACAGGTTTTGAAAAGACACGGGAGTACATCCAATGTGCATATTTATCTCTTCAGCGGTTTGATCGTTACACGCGACACAACTGCCTAGGTGAGGAAAAGAGCCAACCCCTTTCGGCAGTCGCTCAGAATTCCGGCGAGTCATTCAACAATACCTCGGACGATGAGGATACGATGTACATGCCGAAGCGCGCAACGCAATGAGTAAGTTTATTCAGCGGCACCACTAAGTCATTGCTGATCAAGGCAACCTCAACAGGAAACGGGAAGTAGTGTTAATCCCATAGACTAAAGGAGTTTGCGGTGCAGAGAGCACCGAATATAACGATATTTATGTGATGCGACAATAAGCAATGAATAGAAAGAGCCTGGCGAAATTCTTTAAAACGGAGACAGAATCCACATCAAGAATACAACCGTGGTAGACAAGACTACAAGATCGGGAGAAGATCTAGTGAACCACTACGAGCGGATCGAAGACTTGTGATGAGGATGGTGGCCCACCGATTCTAGGAAATCGTATGGCCCCTTTGTACAACGGAGGAAGTGACGACTGACAGGTGCCGGGTTTACCTATGGATGACTGTGTAGAACAGACTGGCGGCATCAATCGCGAGTGTGAAGCCAAAATCCTTCAACACCACTGAGAGATTATTAGGGTTTGGTTTTCAAAATTGTTCACCCAAGGTATTCACTCCGGAAGTGTGCATGCCATCAAAACGCAATAAAATGGTTGGACAAGGGTCCGGTTTACTTATCAACTAGTGTATAGGATTGGTTGTAAAACCTGTGCTAGTGTTAAACATGCATTTGAGGCCTCTTGGGATGCCGCTGTTGTACAACATATAGTTTGATGTTCTCTGTTACAATGTGCTCAAAGCTTGGATTGTACACTACTTTAACCGTACAGTTCCGCAGAGGTTGGGTATCGCTCTGCATCCGCTCACATGGCTGTTTAACTGCATCTAGATTAAAACAGCCTCCTGCTATTCAGTGTGGTGTAGTAGCCAGTTGGCTGGACTATTGGTCTGACACCTATAGATTGTGCTATTGGAATCCAGTGATCCTTGATTGCCCGATGTCTCCCTTTAGTAAGCGTTCGCTTCTGTTACTCTGTGGTTTGAAAGCGGCGAGTCATTCTTCTCCAGAAATATCGCACTACGGGCTGAAACACGTGCGAGACCGAGGAAATCGTCTATCAGGTCCTCACATAGGAGCACCCAACGTGACATCCTCTGAAGATGCACGCCGGAGTGAAGCGTTGAAAGCTCGCATGACCGAAACAGGTGGCCAACAGAATGTAAGTGCAAGCAGAACAGTGGCCCATTCATGCAGTGTTTTCGGGCGGGCAGCACCCAATTTCCAGTGGCACATTCACATCACAGACAATCGGCGGTTCATTGTGGTTTGTTTGGACAACCTACCAGCGAGCAGTTCAAAACAACGCAAAATGAACGCAACAAGGTGCTAGCGTCAACAGAGAAGCCATATATTACTTATGAGTAGAAGAAGTTTAGTTGTAATTTTAATGTATCCGCCCAACTAGTCTAATTTGACGCCTAGGCTAACCGTACCACGTCAATGCGCCTAGAACTGTGGGTTGAATCAAAGAAACATGCAATCGAACAGCGATCACTTGAATTCGTGCCCATGATAAACACAGAAACAAGGCACTTGACCCAACTACAACCCACTGAGGGAAGCATCTAGAATACGTACTAGATCCGGTAACAGCGATAGAGATATCCTCCGGACGGCCAAACTTGGGCGCATCTGGGCAACGTAAGATGGTTGCGATCTCGTCCAAAATTGCTTCAGACTCGGTGTCCCACAGACCACGATGCGCTGGTGTGTCTACGCATGCAGAATCGCCGAAATCCGAAATCCATCTTGTGCCGCGGTGCATTTCCCAACACATCTCCTCCGCACCGCCATAGATGAGCTGAAATTGGAACGGATGCAGGAAGATGATGGGAAAATGGATGAGAACAGACACGCGAACACAGTATGGAATAAAGTAGCGATGCTGAAAGACTGTGTGGAAAAGACAACACGACAGAAATGATAGTGAGGCCAGTAGAGAAAGAGCGGAGAGACCAAGGCATGTATCACAACGGAAACGAGATCTATAGAGAACACACATCCAGTGGCAAGGAATAGATGGGACAGTTAGATCCAAATTCATAGCAAACCGGTCGAGCATCGCTTTCTTAAGTTCATATATACTTCTACTTAAGGTCACCAATGACAGAATTGGAAGAGTCAAGGGAAGCCTTCATTTCACATAACAAACGGCATCCATCAGGTTTTGACAATGGCTATGAAAAGTGACGGTTTCACTAAGAAAGAAATAAAATATGCCGGAATCCGCGGAGTACGACCATCATCACTATGTTTTAGGCTGCCTGTCAGCAAAAGGGCCTGACGAGTTTGCACTTTGGCAACACGAATTTCAGTAACATATTCCGCTCAGACCATATTATCGATTTCTGAAACAGGCCGATGTACCGCTTCGCCATAGGATCACTTTACACAAGAGATGAACTGCTGACGCAACTCATAACCATGAAGACCTACTCTAACAAGCTCAGCATCCAGTGCTTTTTGAGCCTTCAGTGATTGGGTGTAATAGTTAAATATGCGATTACCGCTAGTGGTATAGCGGTGTAGAGCAGTCCAACCAACGGCCGCAAATAGCGCTCACCAGACCCAGGGGGTATTTGCATGTATATACAATGCATAGATCAGACATAAATAGCTTCGTGTGGAGCCCCGCGTTGCACACACATATGCGGACACATCAGGTAAATGGTGGGTGAGGGACTCCTGGAAACATCCAGCAGGCATGGTGCACAAGCGTGAGTAGGTGGTGTCCACCGGAATCGGAATCAGTGAGTTTGTGGTGGTAACAGCTGACTTAAGGTAATAATTTGCCAATGCTAGTGTGACAAATATGTGCGTGGTAAGAATAATATGATGTTATTACAAACTAGCATTGTGCTACTAAGGCAAGTTGAAGCAATAGCACCTGTAGATCTTGTCTCCCATTGCCACTATAAGATGGTAAGGTGATAATTCAAGTGCAGCGGATGGATGTAAGCATAAAAGATGGGATGGTGGAGGTGAAGGTTAGCTAGGGAGTTACGGAAACGAGAATGGTCGTTCCCCAGTACAGCCAAGAAGCATGGGCCTTTGAGTTGGGGAAGTCACCTATCTTCGATCGCTTAAGAAATGAATCAACCAGGTCATTAGATGAAAAGACCGTTTCAACACGGCCAGCGTTAAGGTATGAGCAACGGAGCCAAAAAGAACCGCATATTAATTCAAAAAGGGGCTATGGTTCGGATGCGTACCCACTAATATCTAAGCAACAATTACAGATCGGTATTCGTTCACAATGAAATCGAAATGATACAGGAGTCAGTGGGTCTTACTGCCAAAGTGATGGCAGTTAGTGTATCGCTGAAGCGTGTAACCAGCTAAAATAGAGCCCAGGTGATTTGAGCTGCACCTGGATAAAGGTCATGAACACGGGACACATCAATTTCAAATGTATTCCTAAAAACAACATACGCTGAAGTTTGACGTGAAACGGGAATGTCTAAGCGTAGTGGAGACTTAAAAACAACAACTTGGCGGGCAGTACTTGACCAGAAGCGAAAACGGGCGGCCAGTAGGAACCGTAGCACGGCAGTGGACGAATAAGCGCGTGCCACAAGGCCTGAAAGCGGGGGCATCAAAAGTCAGGTCAGGAATATGAAAGGACAAGAAATCACAGCCTCATAGGGCCAACATGGAAGTGAAAAGGAGGAACAAGAAAACGCGATGAACGGAAATGACAAAAACACCTCTGGCTGACAGGTGATTGTGAGATATAACCACAGTTCGATGGCTTAAACATAAACCTTTGTAACTCGAAGCAGCCGGTCCGCTGATGGATCGCAGCACAAAGATGACGCCAACTGGAGTGCAAAGATGAAAAGGTTGCATTGAATCTAAGAGAGGCGCGACGGTAAACTTACGTTTAGGGGGAAACTAAATTCCGCATCATTCGGCAAGTGGTCCACTGGAAGAGAAGGAAGATCCACTCGTTGCAAAAGAGCGAGACGTTCAGACGAATCCACACCGTCTGCGCAGATGGGTTTAGGTGCATCTAGGAAATGGATGAATGTGGGCAAGCGTAGCGACGACAGGGTTGAAGGAACCAGCGAAGACTGCTGCGGTGCATCTCGCAAAACGACCAAACCTTTGCGTTTACCCACGGATGAAGTAGCCCTGAAGAAAGGAAACCGAAACGAGAGATTGACAATAAGTACTGCACTGAGGGAATACTAAAAGAATCAATGTGCGTTGTGTGTTTTAACGCTCAGTTCAGACCAGTTGGTGTAGTGTAGACGTAAAATTCCCTTCAATAAAACGCTTACGCTTCAGAAAACTCGTTCATATCAACCGAAAGAATGAGCTCATAAAAGTACATGGATATTGCTTTGTGCGGTCTGTATCCTTTGTCACCGAAGTCAAACAGTTCGAGGCTTAAAAAGTTAATCAGTTCAGTCAAGCTCACCGTAAAAACGGATAAGAAGTGTTACGCGATCGCCGAACATGTGAGATACAACACACGCGAAATATACATAGTTACAATTTACATATTTGAACAGATTGTGTAACCAGGCTGCTGTGCAGAGTCTGGATGTCGGGTTGTGTTGTCACGTGTGTGCACGTGGGGCACAGGCTTGCTGATCGGGTGAAATAAACCGTTTTCATTATGATGGAGTGCGCGTTGTTATGCACTAGCTCAAACGAAAACTACATAATGCGTTATAATCTGTTTGTGACCACTTATAGTGTACACAGCCTTGTGCCACATAGTTTCCAAACCCGCAAATGGAAGTAGAACGCAGCTGAGTAATACTGTACTACTTTGAGATAAATAAGTAGGCAAAGTTTTAAATACTCGGCTGGAGCGTTGACAGGAAGACGAGTCGGATCGAGCCACTATCGCGCGGTCAGAAACGGACAGATAATGATAGAGATAATCACAAGTAAAAGAGCACCTGAAAACAAGCATTCGCATAACGAGTGGCCCCAGGTAACTACGAATGCTGGTGGCCCCATGACACTTACTGGCATGGGTCAGGGAACGTTACCAAACGCTGATGGCCCGTATGGAAGAGAATGGTTAAGGAAATGTAACAAATCTTAGATGGACTTTGAGCCATGCTCTTCATGTTTTGAGCCTGTGGAGCTTGGTCTAGTCAAGCAGAGCCTTGGCGAACCTTAAAGCAACGTGGACCAAACATAGACACACTGGGGACAAAATGGTGCAGTTATTCAGCGCCAAATAGGTCATTGGTCCCAACGGTTCAGGCACCTGGCTTGCGAGGTTTCCGGCACGAACCCGCGTAGATGGGGAATATCTCGCAGCATCCAGCGAGCAACTGGTGGTGGTCACGCTGCACTAAAGCGTTGGTGTGACGTACCGGTATACAGCTGAGCAATGGTCTCCAGAACAAAGTAACGAGAAGGTTAAAAATATGAGTAAAATGTTTAAAATACAAAAGTTATGGATTCAGTTGATACTGACTGATAGCTTATTTATGCCATCAAATATAGCAGATAAATGCACGGGAAAAGTAGGTCTCGTAATAGAAGATTATCGGACATAATCCTAACCCCGAACGGGATTGGGAGCAGCAGAGCAAGATGAACAATCGGGCATCGCGACCCGTAATCCACGTATGTTTTCAGTAAGTTGTCATTGCAACGCACTAGCAGTGCACCGGTACGCAGTACCAACGCTTCGCTGCCGCGCAACCACCACTAGTTAGTTGCACGTGGGCTAAGGATACTGCGAGGGTTGCCCTGCTTGTACGCAGGCTCGAACCCGCGCCGTCAGATTAAAAAACAAGCTTGTTGCTTTTAGGCTACGGGTCAGAAAGAAAGGCAGCAACAGTACCGACGCTTCGCTGCCGCGAAACCACCACTGGTCGCACGCAGGCTAAGGATACTGCAAGGGTCGCCCTGCCCCTAGGCAGGCTGGAACCGGCGCCCTCAGATTACAAGACAGGGTTGTGATCCTTAAGGCTACGGGCCGCTACTGGCAGGGATAAACGTGGGCCGAAGATTCGTACGTAAGAAGATTGATGACCAGAGGGAGGTGGTCTGCGAGAGAAACAACCATGCAATCGGCAGAGTACACAGTGAAAGTGACACAAGGAGTGGGTGGTCTATGGAAACCCGTGGAATGCACACAAACAAGCTGCTGGAAAGAGTGTGGCAAAAGAAGAACTGGACTAACGGTTTCCCATTCGAAAGACGATTGCGATCGCCGAGAGGTCCGTCAGTAGGTTCATTTGCGTTGGTCTTCTCTGAGTAGACGCGCCACTCGGGTTGACTCCTGGGAGGCGCTGATGACACACCAGAACTGGTAAGCTGGTAAACATGAGAGACGTGTAGAAATAAGAGATACGGAAAAAGTTAAAAAACCGCTCAGTTTAACATTTGAACAGTGAAGGAAAAAGAGAACGTGTGACCGCTTAGAGATATTCGGAGCGTCTCGCGATATTGATAGGAATGAGCGACACCAAAAATATTTAGGTTTGCTTCTAGTGATCGTAATGACAAATTTAGATCGAAGTAATCAGCAGTATCAACACTTCGCTGACGTGCAACCACTACCAGTCGCGCGTGGGCTAAGTATACTGCGAGGGTCGCCCTGCCAACATGCAGGCTCGAACCCGCGCCCTCGGATTACAAGACAACCTTTAGGCTACGAGCCGAAGTGGGACTGGGCACCTCCGAATCAAAGCATGTGCCGAGTAGGGACCCTTAGGAAAGGTACGCATTGTGTATACTCAATAAGGGACAGAGAACGGATAAAGTAGGTTTAAACAACATTGGTCAGTGTTTTAGATCAGGTGGTGCTATCTGAATCATTTCCAGGAATTGATTGATAACTACCGAAAAAGCTGCGGAATTAGTTTTTTATCGGTTTTAAATCTGAGGATCCTGCAACAACTAATGAACAGATTCACACTAGTAATAACATGAACTCATTAGGTCGGTTCAGGTGAGCAGGCTGTGAAATTTCCGTTGGCTGATCAACAACAAGTAAAGTAAAGGATCCAGTAAGAAAGCGAAACTGAACAGAGAGCTGTTTAATGGAGAAAAAGTTGAGAAGTGTGAATGTGCTTAGTGATCAGCGTGAACAAACACTTATGTTACTGGGGAAAAGGAGAGAATTAAATGGTGGGAACAATCATCGCGGATATCTGCAATGGGGTATCACATCGCCGTATTTCTGTTACAGTGAAACTGTACCGAATACTTCGCACTGAGAGATGGGGATCGTGTTCGATCATCGGCGCTTGCAGAGCATTAGTCGCAGCATCGGAAGAGCAACATTGAAATCCACCAGTCGGTGTTTAGAAAAAGGCCATGAATTGCTTATGTTGGCTAGATCGTACCCTCCGTATGTCATGTGACAGCCTTCCTCAGCGTGTAGTATATATTATCGTTGCACCATGAAGTCACGAGGTAGTCAGCTGATGACGCGGAATAAAATTGTGAAGTCGATCGACAGACTTGTTCAGACCGGCACAACTTCCTACATGGGATCATCGGACCGGTCACATCCATGGTTGGAGACAAGTGCATTACTGCTATTGATGCCTCGCATCTAGATAATAAGATTCTATCTCGACTAATTTTATATTTTTGCACAACCCCCATTTTACCGGTGTTCTGTTCCACCATCCCTATTACGCTGACGAAATGAGTCACGGTAATTGGATCCATCGGTCTTCGATGCTGGGACCACAGTCGTTTAGCCACACTGATGACAAATGTGCAAGTGGCTTAAAGTTACGTAAAGGTTGAAGGAGTCGTTCGTCATCGCGTCGATCAGATAAACCTGATACTCGTTAACCGCTTTCTGCTGTATCGTGCACTGACTGAAAACAAGGACTGTTCATAGTTAGGCTATTTCTCGTTGTTTATAGTAGGACTACAAAATAGTAACTTGGCACGCTTGTTGCAAGCTCGGACGAGTGAAATGTAGGTTTCAAAATTTAGTATGACTATATAAATGGTTATCTCCGTTGATCTCAGCCTAAAGGTTGACGCGTACGCATTTTCTTACCGTGAGAAATAGACAAGTTAGTATAATTTTGCTTTAATACAAGAAGCGATAGGAAACAAATTCATCCTCACAGACAGATTCCTTGCTAATATCTCAAGTGGTCGCATACATGGCAGAAGATGGACCTTAAATGGGATATAATGCTTTGATAAAGACCCCATCTGTGCATATAATAATCACAAACTGCGTGCTCACGAAGACAACACTGGTTGGGAAGTAACTGGCCGGAGGCATACACCTTAGTGAGAACTCGGCTGTGAATACGGAAGAGCAAAACGGCAGTTTCGGTTACACTAATGCTAGGCGAATCCCTCACTCTGACAGCATTCAGTCGTTAAGCTCCAATGAAACAACCTCTCTTGCTGGCGATGCGACAGTAAACGTAAAATTAATCCCGCGACGTTCCGGAGAATCAGCCAGCCTCAATAGACTATCTCATGTGGTTTTCAGCAGATGTGCTGATAGTGTGGCTGAGTCTCTTGCCGTCAGAGTGTTAGGTGGAACAATAACGATCGTTGACTGTTGAAGGGTTCCCAGCAGCAGATCAGTAGGAAAGAAAAGTACAAGAGTACACAAACCCACAGCATGCATTTAGGTAAGTTATTTCTCTGCAAAAACAATTATTGAGGACATTGGTTCGTATACACTCAGATCCATATGCTTGCTCAAAACGGGAGTCTACTTTTTGTACGCAGTGGCGTGCCTCGGGCGTTTAAAATTGTCATCGCTTGAGAATAAAAACAAATCCAGACAAGTCTGTGTTCTCCACTGCGTCAAATGTGAATGGTTGCAAAGTAATTTGGTCGATTTTGGGGATAAATCATAACTAAACGTTATATGAAATAAAGACTAAACAGAACGCGTCAGTCAATCCAGTTTAATGGAAAGAGCTATCCCCGTCCATGTTTTGTGTGCAGCCATTCAATCATCATTGCTATGTGACATTTATATCTGATCAATACACGTGGCTGGGGTGATTTTGCGTGTCAATCATATGGGCGTAGATCATCCAAAGCCAGAGAGGTCTGAGTAAACCCATGGACTGGACTGGATCACCTTATTCGTCGGTAAACGCCTAGAAAGTATATGAGTTTCTTAACTTTACAAATATCATACCGTCATTGGGCTGGCTTCCCGAACAACCTCCTCGTGGTGCCAGCTGGGTGGTTCGGGATTTTCCCGTTCCAGCAAATGGTTCGGCGGCAGTGTTCCAGGACGTGGTGGGTTTTCTCCTGGCAAGCGTTCTCCCTATAAAAAGCCACATATGTCCGTTTAACAACACTGTGAAGTGGCGGACGTGACTCGCCACTAAATAAAGTCACTGCCCCTTGCTTCATCCTGGCGAAGCATTGTATTCCAGCAATCTTATGCTGTAATTCTGCGGAGCGTTGGGCCCCTGTTTGACAAAGGAACAAACGAAAGGCGTATGAACTGAGCAATCAGTCACCGGCTCCCAATGGGCGCGATTCCCTGAATTCGCTCCGCTGCCTTGCGGGCAGGCTATTCAGCCAAGGGCTCGGGGTGGTGTCCCCTAAGTCAACACCCTACTTCGGCTTGGGCAACCGGGTAGTATCTCGCTCTCTGACGAAACCATGGACTTTGATGTGTTGTGTCTTCTTTTACTATTTCTGTACCTACTTTTGAATCCCATGGTTTCTGACGTCTATTCGTAGACCTTTGTAAATATATATATATATATATATATATATATATATATATATTATATATATACAGTCGATTCCGGTTAATCGGACCACATCGGGACCAGACCATTTTGGTCCTATTAAGCGGCTGGTCTTATTAACCGAAGTTACCCGATGTAACAAGATGGGACGTGCTATACATAACATAAGAAACTACTATTATGACCTGTATTGGCGGCATATATTTATGGCAAACACACAAAAAAGAACTGCTTTGATAACGAACTTTGTTCACTGAAAAAGAAATTTACAAACAAATTCTTCGTAACGACCTACAAAGTATTCAGCCTACGAAGTACAGTTTTATACAAAGGGATTACCGAATTCCATTCAGCATTTGAAGACCGTATCCAGTGTGGTTTGACGCATTCTTTTAACAGACTGCATTCGCACAAAATCACCACAAACATGTAACGCAGTAATAGGACTACCTTCATTTCCTTCCTGCATGAAATAGCGGTGCAATGTTTCAATGCATTTCCTTGCATCCTGTTTTGTGACTGGCATCAACACGTTAGGGTTCTCTTCATCACTTCCATGGTCTTCTGTTGCTGTCGTGTGTTTCGCTGCTATTCGAGCAACAATGGCAGCATCGCATTCTTCATTTCCATCATAGAGTTGAAGTTCGTTGTCGATTGAAAAAAGTTCTTCGTAATTTTCAACATGTTTCAACACCACATTCTCGTCGTCATGTTCATTTACAACCACCATATCCACATCCATCTCCGAGACAATATGCTTAAAGCCACAGTGAGAAAAACAGTTCCGAATTGTCGCACTGCTCATTTTTCGCCAACTTTCGGCCACGAATGTAATGGCTTGCAAAATGTTGACCTTTGCACTGATTTCTCCGGCCGTCGAGGATGAGGTCAGCAAGCCTTCCTCAATTGATTCAAGGATGTAATTCACCAACCTTGAACGATAAAAGGTCTTCAAATTTTTTATGATGCCCATGTCCATTGGCCGCATCAAAGATGTGGTCTTGGGAGGCAGAAATTCCATCTGGATATTCTTCAAGAAATCCAAATTTGAATGTGCTGCACAATTGTCTAGAAGTAATAAGACTTTTCTCGACTGGCGTTGTAGCTCTGTGTCCCAATCCTTCACCCATTCTTTAAAAAGTGTAGAGCTCATCCATGCATTTCTGTTCGCACGATACACAACTGGTAAACTGTCCATTCTGAGTCCCTTAAAGCAGCGAGGCTTGGCACATTTTCCTATAACCAGCAACTTCCTCTTGTCTGTTCCGGACATGTTTGAGCAGCACAGGACAGTTACGCGATCCATTGCTTTTTTGCAGCCAGAGAGAGTAACATGTTTGTAAATTAAGGAGCCGTCCGGCGTAGCCCTATAGTACAACCCGGTTTCATCAGCATTATAGATGTCATCTGCTGGAAATTTTTCAAGAAGCTCTGGTAGTCTTGTTGATTTCCATTCTTCAGCTCGAGCGCTATTGGCACTTTCCTTCTCACCATGTGCTTTCTTAAATTTTACATCATGTCTAGATTTCCATCGAGACAACCAGCCGTCCGTAGCTATAAAATCTTCGTGGCCCAGCATTTTAGCGAGTTCTTCTGCTTTGTACTTTA